TGTGTGTGTATGTGTGTGTGTGTTGGCCGTATTGGAAACTGAGGCCTTGCACGTGCTAGACAAGCACCCTACCACTGAGCCAAGTCCCTGGCCTTGCCACTGATTATCATTGTTAAACTTACAATGGGTGCATTATGCTGCGTGTGAGCCCATCATAAACCAAGGAGCATCTGTCCGCTGTTCTTGCTTATTCCTCCACAATATATAATATGTGATCTCGTTTCTTGAAAAGGTCACAAGACAAACACTAAAAACGGACCCGGATGCAGTCGATGCTGTGTTTGCCTGGAGTTTCCATTGGGAATGTATTTTGCATGGTAGGATGGACATTGAAGGTCTTTACTTGAAGCTGATTCTGTTTTCAGTAGTATATTATGGACGCTATTCCCTAAGGCTAATGGTATTATGTAATGAATTGTAAGTTTAAGGCGGATTGTTCACATAAAACGACCTAGAGGAACAGTTCCTATATTTAAATACAAACTGAGACAATCCATTTCTTTTTCAAACCTTACATCACAATATTTTTTAAAGTGGCTTGTAACAAAAATTAGCTTAAATTGACTTGCGTTCATGCAGGAGTCGAAAGTTCTGGCCATGCCACCCATGTGTCTCATGCCCCAGTTTCCAACGTGAGCTCAGAATATTATACCACACACAAATCTCCGCCTTGCTCGCTGTTAGAATTTTAACTCCCAGGTTAAGACCAGGTCCCTAGTTGAATAGAAATTTCAGTGGGATTTGGAAAAGTCCTTTAAATAGATTTTTATTGGTTTTTCAGAACACGGTTATTTTGTGTTAATAATGGGCATACATTAGACTTTAGATAATTGCTTTATGTAACTTAGAGTTTTGGCTTTCAGCTAAATAAACACTCTGTGTGTTCACAGGTGTATTGTCCTCAAGGGCACTCCGCTTTTAAGGGTGGCAGCTGTTGCCAAGGTGTTGCTGATACAGTTCTGTGTATAATTTATTGGAAACAGGTGCTGGCTCATGATGAAGATAGACAGGAAACTAAAGCAGACAACATGTTTAACCACCATTAAAAAAAAGTTCAGGTTCAGAGAGACAATGTCTGAGATGTTTGGGGGATGTTGCCAGCATCCCAGTGCAAGTTTAAAAGCTCCTGCAGATCCACATAAGGAAGGAATTGTACGTGAATGTTAAGCAGCCCAGCCAAATGAGGGCCTGATGCTACGCTGCCAGATTTAATTGATTATATGAAAAAATTTTTAGTTTGTATAACACTAGCAAAAAAATCATAAAATACTTTCCTAAGCTAATTGTTAAAAATTACTTTCAAATGAGGTAATAACTGTTAGTTTTCAGTGATCTGGACAGTGGATTAGGCCGTAATGTGTTTTCTTTCTATGCAGAGGATTTGCAGCAGTCTGTCTGTGAGTCCTTCTGTGCTGGGAAGAATGCAGGACTGATGTCAGGGGTGCCAGGGCAGGTTACACTGATGAGGCAAGACACGATCTAGATCCTAGAGCAAGAGCATTGGATGCTTCCTCCTCCCTGTGGCTGGGACCCTGCTGTGGAGCCGGGCAGGAGGCTGAGGCAGGGTGTCCTGTTCAGTGTTTTCTGGCACCGAGGAGGCATAGAAAGAGGCTGGAGCACCCTTACCCACTGATCCCTCGGGCCAAGCCCTTGCTCCCCAGTAAATACCGGCAGACATTCCAGCTCCGACTCTCCAAAGCCTTCCCCCCTGTGAACAAGTACTTTTGTATTTTCCCAACTAATCTTAAGTCTAATCGGCATGCCCCAAATACACATGTGCAGTAAATATGCATACTAAATGCAGCCGAAAAAGAAGTTGTTAAAAGTGCATGCACAGTTTTTCAACCTCAAGAACCTAAATGTCTTGGCCATTTACATGTTTAAAAAATACCCAAAGGCTTTAGACCACATTATGGACTAATGGCCTGCCAAATTTCATTTTTGGGAAAAGAATCCACATCTGAGTTATAGCATACGAGTGTAAGAAAAGCAACTGAAACAACAAAATTTGGTTGAAAACACTTTTTTGACCCCAAGGCTTAGATGCCTTTTGCCAAAAATGTTGACAAAACTTTGTACCAATACCAACGGGCATGCACAGTTTAATATCTACTTTATGTGAAAAATCATTGACAATTTAATGCTTGCATAAATTTGAAAGCATTTTATGCAGTAGGTAGAAACTTTTACATTACCATTCCTAATCTCTACCAGCCGTCCTGTTCCCTTCTCTAAGGGAAAGTGACTGACAGGGCTGAAAACAACCAAATCTGCTGAAGGGTTCGTGCAGCTGCTTTTATCACCCTTCCAATAGCCCCATCCTGGCCCGAGAGGCAGGAATTTGGTTTGCATGCTGCTCAGGGCCTTCAGCAGAGGTTTAGCATAGGAAAGCAAATAGCTGGTGTAAAAATAAACCTTTTATTTAAAAAGAACTTTATAAGGCCCCTTTATTTAGAGGGAGACTCACTCAAATAAATACACCGTTAACAAACTTATATAATGAATAATAATATATACTGTAGCAAGTGATGAAATAGAATCCCACGAAACAAGTGCTGAAATCCGATGATTGATTATCAAACCTATAGGATAAATAAACCCTGTTCAATTAATAGCCAGTCTTAGGGATGAGTTTCTATAGAAATGCCCCAGGAGGAAAAGTACTGATTGCAGAGGTTCGGGGAGAGTAAAATCCTGAATTTAGCAGGCCGGGCCTTTACCGAACACTTTTCCTGGAGAGGTTACGTGCCTGGAGGTCACTGTGAGACGAATCCAGGTTACTGACGGGAGGATGTGCTTTCTCCATCTGAGCTAACAAATTCTCTGGGCCATTTGGGACTCACATGTCTAAGTATGAGAAGAAGCTATTTTTAATTTATTAAAAAGGGTCTTGAGAACCAACCTGGTTTCCTTGGATGTGTTTCTTGCCAACAAGCCAATGAAAGCACCCATTGAGAGATTTTTATTTTCAAGCTTTGGTTTGCATCCTTATTCTTCTGTCTGAGTCAACGCGAACAGCCGGCTCAGCTTCTTATTGATTTTGGAAGGGGGCTGACTTCACGTTTGTAACTAGCCGCTCTGATGTCTGAGTAGCAGAGTTATGGGGAAGAACGGCTCATGAGAAACCCCAGATGGCCAGCGGCACGCCTGTAATTCTCCCTGAATGTCATTTAACAGGATCTTCATTTTGAAGCAATGGAAGAAATGTCTGTCCAGGGTCCTGTGAGTGCCTCTTTGTGACTGTGCTTTATCCCTATTCTTGAAATAGGGATGCTGCCACTAAAACAATCTTACTGTTAGCATTGGACTGTGAACAACGGGGAGGATAAACCTTAAATATTCATTGGCCCATGGAGCCATCATTCAACCTAATTGCATGCTGTCTATTCAGTTTCCTCTTATAACAACTCCTTAGTTCTTTTCTCTTCAAGGCTGATATATTCAGCATGTACCTTATCTTGGTATTTTAATGTAGTGCCTCACTGATTCTACAAGACTGCCCTCCCAGCATTAGCTAACTCCTACGGACAGCAAAACCTCCCAGGAAAACACCTTCCACGTGCAAAGCAACCAACAGGAAGCCCACGTCCTAGCCACTTCTTTAATCAGACTTTCGCACTTGGGCCATTATCCTCTTACTCTAACCACCCAAGGGCCAAGTGCCAGAAAACTAAGGGCTAGATAGCGCCTATGTCCCAGAGCCCAACAGAATTTTCAAATTAGTCAACCCTAAATTTGCCTAACCTCATCCATGTCTTCCTGTGAAAGCACAATTAAAAGTTCCTCCCCATGTTCTTCCCTCACTCCTGCCTCCTGACGGGCCCTGGTGACTTACAGCGTGACTTTGCAAGGCCTGGCCTGGGCCCTCCTTTGAAGACCTCCTAATAACCATCTTTTCAATGGCAGGTAACTCCTGTTGGCTTCACCATACCAATAAACCCTACATTTGAAGATAGGTAAAATAAACATATCTTCCTTTTACACCTCAAAGCTGTTCTGGTACAATGAAGTAGCCCTGAGATTGGTGGCCAAGAAAACTAGTCCTGACCAAATCTAACCCTGCACAACCAACCGACTCCGCCAGGTATTTTGACCTTGCTGAAGGTGAATTTCTACTTCTACCAACATGGACACTTCCTGTTTGCTGGGTTGTTGTCAAGGTCACATACAGAACAGGGCTGACACATACAGAAGAGCCAAGCGTGTGCTAGGAAGACAGTTAAACCTGAGGCTACTCCTTTAAGTGTCCTATCTTTCCTTGTTCAACTTTTATTGCAACCACACCCCCCGTGGGCCACGCCTCTGAGCCGTGGAGACCAGGGGAGGTCCGAGTTCGAACTTAGTTTGCATGTTAAGGTGGAGCAGGGCTGCTGAAGGCACAGAAAGTGGAGTCCAATTTCGTGGAGTGACTGCACTCTGGCAGGCCAGGGGTTCGCGAGAAAGTTACTGTAGCCCATGCCTTGGATTCTTATGTGTCAAGTGGGGATAACGTTCCCTACTCCGTAGAATGATTTGGAAGGTGGTGAGTGGCCCGCTTGGCATGCGGTGTGCTGTGAACGTGAACGTGTGCAGCGCGCGGGAGAGGCAGTCTCAAGGCACCTCCCGCTGTTGCCCAGCTGCTTTTCTCTGGTGAGCTCGTTCTAGAATCGGGCAGCTGGTTTAACCACGCCACTTCTGCCCTAGATGTACCGCGCCGCTGAGCTAATGCTCAAATTGGAATACAAGCACCGGGTGTCGTCAAAGCCTTGTTACCGCTGTGCGGTCTTGTGACCAGCACCAAATCTGTAAGTTTATGAAATGATTGCACCGGAACACCTGAACAGATGGAAAAAAAACTCGAGGTTTTTGTCTGACTTCGACTGAGGCCCCGTGGAGCCACCGACACGTGACCTGCCAGTCCATGGGGAGCAGGAAATGGTGAGAGCCGCTGCGGCTTCATTGCCCCCCTCTTAAGTCTCCCCTCAGTTTTCTTTGTCTTTTTTTTTTAATGTGGAAAGATTTTATTGTCTTCATAATAAAACAAAAGATGAAGCGTAGAACTGGATCACTTGGCCCTTTCTCTTCTTATCTCCTCCCAGTTCAAAATGCTTGCATCTCTTAATAGCCAGCATTCTCTTAGATCTACAGTTGGGTTCAACATACTCAAGCCTCAGCACAATCTTCTTTGTAGTTTTGGCCTTTTTCCGGAGAATCGGCTTAGTCTGTCCACCGTAGCCACTCTGCTTCCTGTCATAACGCTGCTTTCCCTGGGCACACAAGGAATCCCTGCCTTTCTTGTATTGTGTCACTTTGTGGGGTTGGTGCTTGCCACATTTCTTACAGAAAGTCCGCCGGGTTTTAGGAACGTTCACCATGCTTGCAGGGGCTAAATTATCAGCCCGGAAAGAAAGAGGCCGGGCCAGAAACGAGTCAGCGTTCTACTGAGGATGTTTTCAAATTATGGGGGACAGTAATGAGAAATAGTTCTCACTGATACTGGAATAATCAATGGATAAGCTATTTAAATGTGTAAATGGGAATCTAGGCGTGGTGACACATGCCCACCTGTAATCCCAGAGTGCTGTGGGAGGCTGAGGCAGGAGGATTACAAGTTTGAGCCTAGCTTGGGCAATTTAACAACTTAACTAGACCTTGTGTCAAAATAAATAAAAAA